CACTGCGTTCCACAGTTCACCACCCGGAAATCTCTCAACAGACCGGACCATTGGGTCGACTCCTTTCCAAGTAATGGGTGTCAACTATACGGGACCAATGGAATACAAGATTAGTTCGACAAAACACGGCAAAGCTCATATCCTGTTGTTCGCATGTAGTCTTACCCGTGCCATCCATCTCGAGCTCTTAAAAGATCAAACGACTGAGAGATTCATCAGAAGTTTAAAGCGGTTTGTTGCTAGACGTGGTAGACCTAGTATAAGATCTATTCCGACAACGCCAAAAGTTTTGTAGCTGCAGCGAAGTGGCTCAGAACGATCATGAAAGATGAAAAGCTTCAAAAAAATTATCTCGCCCACCAGTACATAACATGGCAATTTAATTTAAGCAGAGCTCCCTGGTGGAGAGTCTGTATACGATGATTTTAATGCGAAAATGCCAGTTTAGAGAGTCTAGATTTTAAAACATTTCTGAAGAGGATGCAACCTGATCCCCAACAAGCTATTTGTATGAACGATTGAAAAGCTACAGAGCTATATTTGGTGGAACATTGTTGTTTCGGAGGGCAGTTAAAAATCGCATTATTGAAATCTTTCCATGGCTGAAAACGAATCCATGGCTGAAAACGCAGGAAATAGCATTTCCGAGGTTCAAATTTTAAAATTTTCTCGGGGGAGCATGCCCCCGAACCCCCCAAGATTACAGGTCATTCATATACTGTACCTCCCCCTGCCCTCTACTCTATCCCTGCATGCTTTAGGTTTGGGTGCAGTCGTGCAGTTATACATTTTTTGTAAGTAAACCTGCACGCTTTAGCCTTTAGTGTGGGGAACATTAAGACATAACCATATAAAATAAAGCACAGTGAAAACTCCTTGGCCCCTCTTGGGATTCAGGCTCTGCCTCCTCTCACTGAAAACCCCAGCTACGTCTCTGACGATAGCTATATGAAAGCCTTAAAGGGGCCCTACAGTCATTTTTTAGTCGAAAAGCCACCTTTAAGTAGGGGACTCCACGGAGATTCGTCTGGCTGTATCTTACATACAGTATCCATGAGTATGAGTACTTCCGCACACCAGAAGACGCATGCATGCCGTGGTGTGCATGTCAAGTAGCGACAATAACAAAAAAATGTCCCTTTAAGCAGTTATTATGAGAGGCAAAAAAATATCCTGCCGCGAAATATATTGGGAAAAAATATCTTGCGAAAAAATATCTTGCGCTGCACTTTTACAGGAAAAAAATATCTGTCTTATTCCCCTGGGCGGAAAAAAATTCTTGCACAGTCTGAATCTTCCAACCCCCCCCAAAAAAAAATCAAATGGTCCGCCCCTAAGAATATTTTCATGAGGTGAAAGATGGAATGTTCCATTCAACGAGGTGACAGCCGAGTTGAATGGAACATTCCATCTTTCACCGAATGAAAATATTCTTACCATTGCACTCATAAACATTTATTATTTGTTTTATATCATACCAAAATAGACTAATAGATTCGTATGAGAAGCATTTTGAGGGATGCAATTTATCGAAAACACAAAGAGTGCAATTGTACTATACGTTTTATTCCATTGCACTCGCAGAGAGTACAATGGAACGTATTTCATTGCCTCTTGGGAAAAGGAATTTTCTATTCAATATCACGTGACCATAAACAGCCAATTAAACGAGCAGAATTCAATAATGTATTATATACTGTAATATAGTATCTCACGCTGCATTGCAAAATCATGAATTTGAGTGCAATACCGTAAAAAATCACATTATCACGTGGTAGAAAATTAATGCTTTTTTTTCATTGGACAATTTGAATTTGAGGTATAATATTAGTATAAATGTATATTATAGTAATGTATATTATAGTAAAAATATGTCATAAAATATAAATTTTAAAATGAAATTGACTTGCCTATTTGATAGTGTGTGTTCTCCTTGTATTCCAACCTTTGTTGGACTAATATTCTCCAAGACTTTTTACACGATGTTACTAGTATAGATGATACATGATATCATGTATACTATAGTAACATCGAGTACAAAGTCTCGGAAAACATTAGTCCAACAAAGGAGGAGTACAAGGAGAACACACACCATCAAATAGGCAAGTCGGTTTAATTTTAAAATTTATATTTTATGACATATTTTTACTATAATATACATTACTATAATATACATAAATACTATACGTCTATACTGACCCTTGCGAGATTGGGCCGCCTGTGGGCTAACCATTCCTTAAACAGAGGTGACAGGTGCCTATCTAAAAAAGAGCGACAAACGACAGTTCCTGACTGGGAAAAAGCGACAATTGCAATTTGTGCTATAATTGGGTCAAAAGTGACAGCGACATTCATTACAATAAAACAAGCGACAAAGCAGCTACAAAATGAGTGACAAGTAACCTAGATTAATTGCACCCTTGGTGGGCCTCATTAAACCAAGAGGTCATACCGCCGTTGGTTTCTAGTACTGATACGAAAGGAACAAAGCTTCATATTTTTATATTTTGTACTGTTTCATTTCTTTTTTTGAAGATAGTTGATGAGAAAATATTCTTGCCTAAAGCTTGCTTCAATATCGTCAAAGGAGGAAAGGTTGGCTTTATTAGTATGTGTGACCATTTGTACTTAACTATTTATGAATCCTATTAATAATTAATTATTAACTTCCTTTAGCCTGGATATAAAATTTCTAAAATCTTGCACATAGTGTATACTTGCATACAGAATACACCCTTCCTCACTTTGGCTATAAAGCCTAACGTCAATCATGAAAAGGATGGCCAAGCTGGTCAGTACTTTCTGGAAGTGTGTACTGTATGTATATTGTTTTGAATTGTATGATTCAGCTAGAATATGAGAAACGTTTGATAGTAATTTAGCAGGTACAATAAGTATTGTTATATATAGCCAGGGTGAACACCAAACGTGATTGGCTGATTTACTTCAGATAAATACAATGTATCCCGCCAGGCAACAAGTGAAAAATTATTGCCCGCCCGGACTGGCACGTACATAAATAAACAAAATGGCAGCACAACTAGCATAATTAAAAACTACGATTTTCCAAGTTTGTGTTCAAATAAAGAATGTAAAATAGAAGAAAAATAAACAGGATATGCTGCTGAAACCGTTTAAGTACTGTACCCTTCTTTTAATTTTAGACTTGTTTGCACTATAGAGTTTTTAATGTCACAATTAAAATACAATTCGTCGCTATATAACAAAACACTTTAACCCATTAAGCGCCAGCGCTCTCCCCTTGACGAGTAAAATCGTCTGGCGTTAGACAGAGTAAAATACTAAAGTAGGGTGCATCGGGGTGCAATGCGACTCAATGGGTTAACTAGACACATGGGTAGCTAGGCCAGTCAACCCATTAAGCGCCAGCGCTCTCCCCATGACGAGTAAAATCGTCTGGCGTTAGACAGAGTAAAATACTAAAGTAGGGTGCATCGTAGCCTGCTCGCAGGCCGTTGTCAGGCAGAGGCTGAGAGGAACGGCCTGCGACCTTTATTAGTAAAAAGTCGATTTATGCGTACGGAGCGTACGCCGTACGCAAAATTCCCATTGGTCAGAAGTGCCCCATGAGTTAATATCGTGCAAATATTTAACTCGTACGACATTTCGCAATGTAATTTTAAAGCTGGCATTCAATCAGTGGCGTATAAAACCATGACTTTGTTTATCTCTTCGAAGAAGTAACTGAATGTATTTGAGAAACTTTCAATTTAAATTAACGTTGAAGGATGAGCGAAGGTTAGCAACATTACTGTACTTCCAACGGGATTTGATAAAAGTTTAATATACCAATACTTTGTCTTCGTCAGCTATAAACCTTTTCCAAAGAAGTACAAGGGAAAACTTCGACGTATGCCTTGCTGATCTTTGCAGACAGAGTAAAATAAGTCTAGTTCAGGCTGACAATTTATCTAACCGCGTTTGCATCACTTGCGGCAGAAATCTTCGAGACTTTTGTGTGTGTTTTCAAACGTTGAACAACTTAGCCCAGCGAGACGTTAGTTGAGACACAGGCAGTGAATCAGCTAGTATAAACCAGTTGATTGTCCAATGCCTCCGAACATTTCTCCCAAATACTTCCCTGTCAACCCAAGGGTTTCTGCCTCAACAATCTGGTCTTGAATAAGCCATGCAAGACAATGGGCAAATTATTAAAACAGACGCCGTCGAGGAAAGTCGTTCTTAGAACACCTGGCCAATTTCAATTTACACCTGGAAATTTTGCAATAGTCGTTTGCGTGTTCTTTGACCGAAGTCCGCTCTCTCTCTTTGAGACTTTCTTTTTGGGAGTCTCAACCAGTGACATATATTATTACAATAAGAGCTTTTTACAAAAAAAATGTAGTTATTAAACACGGCAGAATCGATGCCGCGGCCACAGGTTTTCAAATTGCCTGTTGTCTATTTTGAGTTAATTGTATTATTGAGCAAATGACAGACTTCACGCAATAATGATTAATGTTGTTTTTTAGCCTGCTATTGTTCGACACTTTTAATAAATAGTGTTTGTTCAAAACCTAAATACGTTTCCTTAAATCTTACAGTTACATTTTGGATATAAATGTATAAAATACATTAACTAATAGTGAATAAAATTTTATATATTTAGTTACAGTTATATTTAGTATAGTTACATAATTTAAAACGGCAATGTATACGAACAAGGCAGCAATATACAAACGGAACTATGTTTTAAAAATTAGAACACTTTAGGGAAAAAACGACCATGCATTATGTTACAAAGAGCATGCGCATTAAGGAACTTATGAACATCCCACAATCATTAGTGTAAAGTTAGTCATGTAAATATGTAGATATATGTGAATAAATAATTGTATTTTTGTGTGACTTAAATCGTGGTAACAAATGGTCCTTCGAACCGGATCCGAATCTCTTTGGTAGTGCAAGAATTACGTCTCGAGGGAGTGCCGCGGAGGCGCAAGTGGTCTCTGGAGACCAGACAACTGGAACTGCTGATGATGAGATGCCGACTGAAAGAAGAGCTCGAGATAGCTTGGCATATTGCTAGTCGCAAAACAAGCAAGAGCAAATTTACGAAGATCCGAAATCGAATTCTTTCGTTAGTGGAAGATGCCTCCGCTTCGTGTCGTGAGGTAGAACAGTTTTTCGCAGAATTAAAAGAATTAGAAGCGAAACTAGAAGAGACATGCGAGAAGTTACGGTATTTGTTTACAGTACTTAAAGCAGACGCTCGTGTGACTCAATTAGACCAGTGGCTAGACAAGTTATTTCACGAAGCTTTGGAGGTTAAATCAGCTGTAGCTCGATACTTGGACAATCGCTCTAGCAGTAGAAATTCGTCTGCAAGATCTAGCAAGAAAAGCGCCGCTGTAAAAAGCAAGATTTCGAAGTCTACAGATAAACAACAATCTGGTAATTTATTCGAAACAATGAAGCATGAAATGCCTGAATTTGAAAGGCCGACAATGAATATAGATTCAATTGCCCATCACAGAGATATAGCTAACTTAAAAGCTACTTCTAAGCGTGTTATTCACGGACAGCAAGGATTTCAAGACGAAGAGAACAGCGAAAAAGTTATAACAAATAAGACGGCAGCCTCAGGGAAAAGTAAACCAGACAATTATCGTGATACGGTTGACTGGGTTGAATCACAGCAAAATATTCGTGCAACAACAAATGAAAGGTCACAACTTAACTCAAACTCGGACAGTGTAGAGAAAGAAATACGTCAGTTAGAAGAAGAAATTAAAACTATTAGGGCTGCACGACAAGCGGTCAGTGATCTTCAAATGCCTGTAATGACAAATAGACAAACAAACGTATCCTTACGTGACCACGATATGGTTGAACAATCAAGTCAACCGAGAAGGAAAGCCGAAAGCAATCTCGAATTATGGCGAGCTCTCAGAGACCAACGCGAGCGTCAAACACCTATGAGAACAAATCAGCGAATAAATACGCCTTTAACTGGTCCCGCAAAGGTCGAACTATCTAGATCTACACGAGCGGATGAGGGGAATAGTAACAAGTTATCAAACCATTTAGAACGAATTCATCTACCAACATTTTCTGGCGATAAAACCAAGTTTGAAGAATGGAAAGCTCGATTTACCGTGTGTGTTGATAAAACTGACGCTTCAACAATGCATAAGTTAATCCGTCTGCGATCGCTTTTACGAGGGGAAGCGGAAGAACTTCTCGAAGGTCTTGGCTGGGAAAGCAGCGATTATTATAGCGCGTGGAAAATTCTTGAAGATGAATATGGAGGAGATGAGCGGTTTATTAACCGTCAAATGGATCTTATACGCGATGTAAAACAAGTAAAGACTGTAGAAGATATTCGACAATTTTCTCGGCGTCTAAACACATGCGTAGTTACATTAAAGAATCGTCGACGGTATGACGAGTTGGAAGCCGGTATGTTGTATAGTGTGGTTAAGTCGAAATTATCTCCAAGACTACTGGAAACATACTATACGTGGCTTGATTACCAACATCGTAGATCTACTTTGGAAGCCCTACGAGATTGGCTATTGGTCTATTCGAGACATAAAGTGCAAGCCCAAGAAGATGTTGAGGGTGTTCTAAAGAATGATCAAGAAAGAAGACCGAATCGTCGCAATAACACATACGCGTCAGCACAGAACAGCAGAAAAACGACGTCTATTTGTTTCAAATGTAACAAGAAACATTATATTTCGAACTGTTATCGGTTCAAGTCGATGTCCCTAAAAGCACGTTGGGAATTTGTTCGAGAAAAGAAGTTATGTTTTAAATGCTTGAACTCGGGTCATCAAAGTGTAAAATGCGATAAAGATGAGACGTGTCCAATTTCGGAATGTCACAGTCGACATCACCCATTGCTCCACCGACATCAGCCCAAAGCGAGTGGAAAGGATAATGTTGAACAGTCAACTACCACCGAGCAACAAAATGAGGAACAGAGACAAATTCAGAATGATCTAAGCAACGCCAATCTACCCCCTCCACAAGAATCCACTCCATCCACGTCAATGAGTAATCATGTAACCGATAACGGGTCACAATTTATAGCACTTAGAACAGTTCCTGTCGTTCTGGTTAATGGCAATCAACGCATTGTAGCCAATGCCTTCCTTGACGAAGGAAGTACCGCTTCGTATGTTCGAGAAGATATTGCTCATAAACTTAAATTGCAAGGAACACCTGAACAACTTCACGTTTCTACCTTAACCGGAAAGACGACGTTCAATAGCACCCGTGTTCAAATCAATGTGGAAACTGGAAAGTCTTGATAGCAGATTCAGTGGTCGAGTTGATGCTTGGACCAAGGATACTGTAACTCCAGGACTTGATGTGATTGATTGGAACAAACAAAAGAGTGAATGGCCCCACCTTCGTCACCTTGAATTTCCCCATGTTCCACGCAACAGAGTCGTTGACATCCTGATTGGAATCAACGCTATTGAATTTCACTCACCTCTTGAAGGAATTCCTGGTTTACAGGGTGAACCGGTCGCTCGAAGAACACCCTTGGGTTGGACGTGCGTTGGACCCTGTCAGAGAAACATTGCTCTATCTGAAGTACGTTCTCATTGTGCTTTTCACATTGCGATGAAAGAAGATGAAGGGGATAATTTGGACTGTACCCTACAGCGCTTTTGGGACCTCGAATCTATCGGCTTAGTACCAGGAAAAGAAGAGACATCCACTCCAGACGATTTGGAAGCTGAGAAGAAAGTTGCGAATTCCTTACGTTATGTCAACGGCCGCTACGAGGTAGGAATACCATGGAAGAAGAACGAACCACAGTTGGAAAATAATTACAACTTGGCTTATAAGCGTCTGGAAACACTCGAACAGTCTTTAAAACGACGTCCGAATGTCGCCGAGAGTTACCAGAAAGTAAATGAAGATCATTTGTCCAAAGGGTATATTCGGAAACTTACCCGACAAGAAAAGCAACGACCAAAGTGGTACCTTCCACATTTTCCTGTGGTGCGCAACGATAGATCAACGACGAAAGTCAGAATAGTCTTTGGCGCAGCGTGTAGTTTTCAAGGGAAAAGCCTGAATGATTCTATGCACACTGGTCCTAAGCTACAGAAGGAAGTTTTGGACGTACTTCTACGTTTTCGCCGCGACAGGAGTGCCTTATCGGGTGATATTAGCGAGATGTTTCTGCAAGTTATCATGGCAGAAAGTGATCGTCCATATCATTCTTTCTTGTGGCGTGACCTGAAAAGCGGAACTCCTGATGTTTATGAATTTCAACGATTGGTGTTTGGAGATAAAGCGTCCCCCTACTTGGCTCAAGCTGTGTGTCGAGAACATGCGAAGAGAAATGCAAATGAATACCCGGATGCTGCGAGGACAGTCTTGGATTCAATGTATATGGATGACACCTTGGATTCAGTCTCGAACGTAGCAGAAGTAATTAATCTTCGACGTAATTTAACGGCAATGATGGCTCAAGCTGGAATGAAAATTAGAAAATGGTGCAGCAACGAAGCAGCCGTGATGGTGGACGTCTCTCCTTTGGATCGTGCTCAAGGAAGTATAGAGATACGAGACAAAACTTTGCCAACAATCAAAACTCTGGGAGTTATGTGGGAAGCTAGCAATGACTTGTTAACTTTTCAATACGCAGCACCACCTATACCTGATCAATTAAAGAAGAGAGTCGTAACAAGTTTTGGCGCAGATGGCTTCCAGAGTTTCTACCTGCTGTGAACTCACGAAAAAAGTGGACAGAAGAAAAGAAGGATATTGAAGTTGGAAACATTGTTATTTGTATTGATCCAAATCTCCCTCGGGGAACTTGGCCTCTTGGCCGTGTAGAAGAAGTCTTCATTG